GGCTGCGGGAAGGGAGCTGGCACGGGCAGCGGCGCTGCCCTCCTCTCTCCGCCGTCCTCTTTTCTCTCCCAGACACAGAACAGGACCAGAGCCACGACCCCGAGACAAGGAGCCTTTCTTCCCTTGACAGGCTCCGGCTGCCCGAGACAAAATATCCGGAGCTGGGATTCACTGGGTGAGTCTTGATTCACAAACGGGGCCCAGTTCATAATCCTGAGGGTCCTGATTCACCAAATGGTGCCCAGTTCACCAGCCCAGGGTCCTGATTCACCAACAGGGCCCAGTTCCCCAGCCCAGGGTCCTGATTCACCAAATGAGGCCCAACTCACCAGCCCAGGGTCCTGATTCACCAAACAGGGCCCAGTTCATAGCTCAGGGTCCTGATTGACCAAACAGGGCCCAGTTCCCCAGCCCAGAGTTCCCATTCACCAACAGGGCCCAGTTCCCCAGCCCAGGGTCCTGATTCACCAACAGGGCCCAGTTCACCAGCCCAGGGTCCTGATTCACCAACAGGGCCCAGTTCCCCAGCCCAGAGTCCCCATTCACCAACCAAGAATCCACATTCATGGTCTGAGTCCACATTCACCAGCTGAGAGTCCCCATCACTGCTGAGTCCTGACTCAATGGCCAAAAGTCCCAGCTCACCCACCAAACCTTGATTCACCAGCCAGGAGTCTGGATCCACCATGGTTCAGCTGGTTCAGCTCATCCATTACTCTTCCTTGCAGCTCTCTTTGCTGCCCAGGAGCATGAGGGGCTGCAGAAGGAGGTGGCAGCAGCTCAGTGGTCCCCGTCAGCCCCCACACACCCCAACTGTGCCCAACACCTCTGGACACTGCTCTGCTGGGATCACAGGTTGGTCTGCCCCTCCCTGGTGCCAGGAGCTGGCACTGCCATGCCTGTCCCTTGTCCCCTGCTGGACCCCTCTGAGGACATTTCCTTTCCTGAGGGCAGGCCCCACACCCTTTCCCTTGGTGAATTTTTGGGAGATGAGGCAGGCTGTGTCCCTTCCCTTGCCTGGCGCCTCTGTGCCCCATCTTCCACCCTGGCACAGCCTGGCTGCAGTCACACACAGCCACAGTGGTGGGGTGCATCCCACCCCTCCTGTCCCACCTCCAGCTCCCAGGGAAGCAGGTCAGGCTTGAGGAACCATCCCCAAACCCTTCTGACCATCCCTGGGAGCAGCTCTGCTGACCCCAGCACAGACAGAAACCCTGTGTGGGGAACCCCAGGATGATTCCCATGAGCCAGAGGGTCCCTGTGGGGAGATCCTGGAGCAGCTCTGGTGACATCCTGGTGTCCCACCAGAGCTGGGCTGCCTCCAGGCTGGGAGGGGCTGCCACTGGAGTTTGTGCAGCCAGGAAGCACCAGGGGATCCCAGTGTTTAGTGCTGGGAAATAGCAATTACTCATCACCCACAGCCTGGCTGCGACAGGGAGCGATTCCAGCACTAAACCCGCTCCACGCTGGATTTAAAGAGAGGAGAAAAGCAAAATCCTCTTAACTTTGTGACCTGTAAAATGCCCAGTGTGGGAACGAGGAGCTGGGCATGCGCCCACTGAGGGCTGGGCTGGCCGTGGGCACGGCAGCTGCTCTGTGTCACCACTGTCACCACTGGGCTGGCTGGTGCCACCGGGAGGGGACAGAGCAGGGCACAGCCAGCAACCAGCACCAGGACTGCCTTGGGACACAAGGACAGCAGGACAAGGGGCCAAGCTGAGCGTGGAGCAGCCAAGCTCCCACCCCGCATGGAGAAAAGGGAGAAACAAAGACAAGGGGCACTGAGAGGTTTGGAGAAGTGGGAAGCAGGATCTGGGGGGAGGCAGGATCAGAAGTGAAAGGAGCAAAGGAAACTGGAGGGACTTCAAAGGAACGCTGCAAGCAGCACACACAGGAGCCATCCCAATAGGAAACGGAGCAGGAACCAGCCTGGCTGCATCACAAGCTGCTCACTGACCCCAGGCTCGAGAAAAAACGCTTATGGGAAGTGGGAACTAGGTCAGATTACTAAGGGCACTTACAAGGGGAGCATAAGCATGTGGGGAGACATCAGAAAGGCCAGATTGAGATGGAAATGGGGAGGAATCATTAAGGAGAAGAAGAAAAGGCTCCATCAGCAGGAGGAGAATGAGCAGGGGAGCGTTGGTCTGGACCCAGGGAAGGAGGAAGGCAGCTGGCAGAGGAGGCTGGGAACTCAACGGGATCACTGGCTTGTTTTAAAACCTTAAATCCCAGCCTTCAGAGGTGCCAAGTGCCAGCAGATGCCCACCACAGTAATGAGGTGCTGTGCTGCCACCGAGAGAGCGGCGACTGCAAAAATGGGAATATTGAACAGCACACCCTGACTGCTTCCAGCTCCCAGAACCTCATCCTGGAGTTCTTGTAAAAATGGGAATATTGAACAGCACACCCAGGCTTCTTCCAGCTCCCAGAACCTCATCCTGGGGTTTCTATAAAAATGGGAATATTGAACAGCACACCCTGACTGCTTCTGGCACTCAGAACCTCATCCTGGTTCTTGTAAAAATGGGAATATTGAACAGCTCTCAGAACCTCATCCTGATTCTTGTAAAAATGGGAATATTGAACAGCACACCCAGGCTTCTTCCAGCTCCCAGAACCTCATGCTGGGATGCTTAGAAAACTACATAAAGCCACCTGGGAGCTGTTTGGTGGAACCCAGCTGAAGTCACCTGGGAGCTGTTTGGTAGCACAGGGCATGGCTGAGGGTTTACAAGAGCAGCTCCAGTTTGGGACAGGTCATGTAAGGAAAGATGGAAGCCACAGGAGAAAGTCCAGGAGAAGAGAGATTCAGGAAAGAGTGGTGGGCAGTGGGGAGAGCTGGAGAGCAGGGGACACATGGGAACAGTATCTGAAGGACTCCTCAGTTCCTGACAGGAGGGGACAGCTGGGAGAGTTGGGCTCTGCTCCCACGGAACAGGGACAGGACGAGGGAGAGCAGCCTCAAGTTGTGCCAATGGTTCAGGCTGAATATTGGGCAAATCCCTTCAGGAAAGGGCTGTCCAGCCCTGGCACAGCTGCTCAGAGCTGTCCCTGGATCCCTGGCAGCGCCCAAGGCCAGGCTGGATGTGGCTTGGAGCACCTGGGACAGTGGGAGGTGTCCCTGGAATGGGATGAATTTTAAGGTCCCTCCCACCCACCCCACTCCAGAACTCGGTGGTTCAATGTGTGCGTGCAATTTGCATCTATTAAAGGAATCTGCAGCCATCCTGCAGGAGCACCCAGGAGTCTCCATCACCTTTTGCCGGGAGCTGCAAAAATGCAGCGTGAAAATGCAGCTCTGGTGTCAGAGCTGAGAATCTCACACGGAGGCAAGAGACGGCAGATGGGACAATCTGGTGGGCTGAGGAGCAGTGAGACAACACTGCCTGCCAGGGCACACAGGACCAGCCAGACCTGGTGGGGCTCTGTGGGAAAAGAGAGGATTTCAGGAAGGATTTGGGAGAAAATGCAGAGATTCCTTTTGTAGCTTCCAAACTCCAGGTGTGCATGGTGATCCAGGCTGGGATCCAGGTGTGGGGGAGAAGGGGAGCTCTGAAGGGGATCTCATTGGGGCTGCTGAGTGCTGTGCATGGGATCAGTGGGAAGAAGAGAGAGCAGGAAAAAGGAGCTGGGAGAGGGAGGTGGAAGTGCTGCAAAGCGTGGGGAGAGGGGAAAAGCAGGATGGGGCAAAATGAGGAGAAGGGGCAGCCAAAGGAGAAGGTGGGCTGAGCAACGGGGAGGCACAGAGGAGCTGGCAGAGGGCAGTGGCCCTAGGCAGCCCAACACCTGGCTCTGGGACAGGGGACAGTGCTTTCCCTGCTGACTCTGATCCCCCTGGCTCTCAGCCATCCTCAGTCCCACCCTGCTCTCAGCCATCCTCAGGGCCCTGGCGGTGCCCAAGACAGCTGAGGGGCTCCATGCTGGCACAGCTTTGCTGCCAGGTCCCTGCTGGAGCCAGCACGGTTCCCAGGGCTTCTCCAGTCTCCTGAAAAGGCCTGGAGATCCCTCGTGGGGAGCAGTGGCACTCTGCTTTGAAATGGTGCAGTGAATTCTAAAGGTGAGCTGAGCACTGCATCCAAACCGGTTTGTATTTCTGTTTTCTCCCTGCTCTGCAAAGGCAGTGAATTGCTCTCCACAGCCAGGAGCCATCAGCAAGAGCAGCACGGATAAACCCAGGGAAGGAAGGGATGAGGAGTGGGAACGAGGGGGCTGGGAAGGAATGCCAGGCAGGGTGTGGAGCCGTGGCTGCCCGGGTTTCTGGAGCAGGCTGGACGAACATCTGCCAGGGAAGGTCGGGGCTGAGCGGATTGTGCTGGTGGCAGGTGCTGCTTCATCCCGGCGACCTCTCGGGCTCCCTCCGGCCTCATGCTCAGTGATCCTGCTTTTCTTCCTCCAGAAATGTCAGCCCAGCCCTCCCCTCCCTCTGCCAGAGCGTGCACAGCAGGTTTATCAGCTCAGTCCTCATCATTTTTGCCAACGTTTTTCACAGTTGCTCCTTTCACCAGAGATACATTTGTTTATGCGGATACAAGCAAGCAAAAAGTGAGATTTAAAATGGGAAAAAACAAACATCCATTTCCTCTATTTTTCTCGTATTTTGCAGGGGTATCAGTCTCCCATGAATTCTTCCAGCAGCAGTAGTACCCCGAGGTGGGAATAACTCCATCCTGAAGGTTTGGCCTCAGGCAAACTGTAGAAAGAGAAGGTAAGGAGGGAGACAGGAACTGATGCTGCTCCGTGGTTTTGTTGGAGTCTTTTAAAGGCAGCTCAGGTGTCCCGTGCCCTCAGGATCTAAATCTATATTTATTTTCCTTGTCCTATCCTTTGTGCTTTGTTCCTGCAGCCCAACCCAGGTTATTCCATGATGTGCAGCCTCGGGATGACAGAGCAGAGTGTTTGTGAATACCTGCACAAAAGTAGGAAAAAAACCACTGCAGAACAGATAAAACCAATCCATCGTGCAGTGTTTGAGGTGATTTCCAAGAGCCTGGCAGGGAAGGGGAGCTGAACCCAGCAGGTTCATGATGTGAGTGTGTGGAAAATTATTTTTAAGGACAAAACACTTTGATTTACCTGGAGGATTTGGTTTTACTTGGCAGCACTTTTCCCAACCCTGCCCAGCTAAAGGAGAGGGGAATGCCCAAAAGAGGCTGGTTTTCCCTGAGTTTTCCTAGAGAAAAGGGCTGTGGGGAGGCAGGAGGGCTGGAGGCAGCAGGCACACCCTGCCTGCCCCACCGGAGGGACCTCTCTCCTGCCTCAGCAGCTCTTCCCAAACTCCTCATTCCTGCAGAGAAATCCAGCGTTCGGCTCATCCATTATTCCTTCCAGCTGCTCTTTGCCGCGTGGGGCGGGCATTGGGGAGGTGGGATTTATCCCGAACGTGTCCCGTCCTTTTCTTCCCTGCCCATTGACTCGGCCAACATCTGCTCCCCTTAACCCTCGCTGGCCCCACGGCTCTGGGGACCCTTTCTGGCTGCAGAGCACTCGGCATTGTGGCAGACACAGCCGAGGTGTCCCGGCAGCAGAAACCCCTCCTTGTGCCGGGCTGGAGTGGCATTTGTGCACTAAAATCCATCCTGGGTAGCTCAGCAAAAAGCAACAGTCGCGGGAGGTAAATCAAAGTGTTCTCTCCCTAAAAATCATTTTCCACACACTCACATCATGAACCTGGTGGGTTCATCTCCCCTTCCCTGCCAGGCTCTTGGGAATCACCTCAAACGCTGCAAGATTGATTGGGTTTATCTGTTCTGCAGTGGTTTTTTCCCTACTTTTGGGCGTGAATTGCTTTTCACCCACTGCTCTGCCATAGGGGCTTACTGGAAGCGGCGTGGATACCTATGGATCCCAGATGGCTCCTCTGGGAAGCAGCTCCACCATAAATACTGGAAATAGGCACGGAGCAGTTTTAACCAGCAAATTCCTCCCTGCTTAGCACGGTAACAGGTCCTGGGATGTGGGAAGGGATCCATGAGGAAGGACGAGAGGTGTTTGCAGGGATGCAGCGCACTTTGCATGCGGCTCCGCTCCCCTTCCCGCTGAGGGGAGAAGAAGGGGAGGATTTTACGTTTCATTTACGAGGCATTCCGGGCTCTGCGGCTCGCCAAGAGCCGGAGGGAAGTGCCACAGGGAGGGAGGGACGGAGACGTGACAGCGCACACAAAGGGAGCCCGAGCGGCGGCTCCGCTCGCATACCAATGTGGCCAGGTGGGGACAGCTCCGGGGACAGGCCCGGGACACCTCCAGGGACAGCTCCAGGGACTGCCCGGGCCCGGTGACTCCTGGCCGGCAGAATGGGCTCTCACAGCCCGGTGATCCCGGCTCCATTCCCAAGAACTAACCACGGGATGGGGATCCAGCCCCGGGGCCAGGCTCTCCCGGAGCAATTCCGGATCCAGCCCGGGCAGGGAGCGGCTCCTGCGCTGCCGGGACCCGAGCGGGGCTCCAGGCCCTGAACAAAAGCAAAGCTTTGATCTGGGCTCCTAAAGAAGCTTCCAGCCCCCAGTTCTACAGGACGGAAGGCACCAAGGGGAAGCAGAGAGGCAGCTCCTCCAGAGGGGTCTGGGGCACACCAGGGACCCCGAGCTGGGCGGGAGAGCAGGATGGGGAATTTTAAAGGGAACACACACACACACACATCGGGAATAAGCGCAGGAGAACGGCCGCAGTGCCTCAGCCAAGCCCTCGCACTGCCCATCTTCCCCGCAGGAATCGTTCTGTGGGAAGGTGAGGGAGCAGCTCTCGTGTTTCCACTGCTCTCTTCCCAGGAATCTGCAGCTCAGGGGCTTCCCCAGGTGGTCACAGCCCTGCTTTCCACAGGCTTGTCCCCTTCTCCCGTGGAGCCCCGGTGCCAGCCCCACAGCGTCCCTCGGCAGCGCCTCCGTCCCTCGTTCCGTGCTCTTCTCCCATCGTGGGATGCCCCCTAATGCTCACAGCGCAGCATCCCGGCCTGCAGCCGCGTGTCAGCACTTACCGGGCTCCAGAATCCTCTCTCTAGTCCCCCTGGTACATCCCTGGATCCAGAATCCTCTCTCCAGCCCCCCTGGCACATCCCTGGATCCAGAATCCTCTCTCCAGCCCCCCTGGCACATCCCTGGATCCAGAATCCTCTCTCTAGCCCCCCTGGTACATCCCAGGCTCCAGAATCCTCTCTNCCAGAATCCTCTCTCTAGCCCCCCTGGTACATCCCAGGCTCCAGAATCCTCTCTCCAGCCCCCCTGGCACATCCCTGGATCCAGAATCCTCTCTCCAGCCCCCCTGGTACATCCCAGGCTCCAGAATCCTCTCTCCAGCCCCCCTGGTACATCCCTGGATCCAGAATCCTCTCTCCAGTCCCCCTGGCTCCAGAATCCTCTCCTCCAGCTCCATCACATCTCTCAGCAGGGTAATCCCTGCTTCCATGATGAAATTCACCATGAAAGGTTACAAAAGCTTTGCTGGAGCAAATGGAAAGGTGAATTAAGTGCCAGAAAATTCAAATTCGGGCTGGGAGGCAAAAAAATGACACCAGAGAATGTGGATTTTGGTGGTTATGGGCTGTAAATTTGCTGTTACTGCAGATCATTTTTAGCATGTTCAGCACTTCCCAAATGTGCTGATAGTGAAAAGGAAACAGCGAGAGAGTAACAGACCCCTCACAAATCCCCCGTGTCCCAAAGCGTCCCTGATGCTTCCCAAACAGATTAAATGTGCCACACAGGGGTCTGGAAAGGGGCAGGTGGCACTCTGTGACCAGGGCAGCTGGGCCAGCCCCGCTACGGGGAACGGGGAGCCAGACCCAGGGTGTGCCTCTGGGAACAACGGGATCATAGGGATCCAACCCCATTAATTATTATGGGAACAGGGATCCAGCCCCAGGGTGTGCCTCCGGGAACAATGGGATCATGGGGATCATGGGGATCCAGCCCCATTAATTATTATGGGAACAGGGATCCAGCCCCAGGGTGTGCCTCCGGGAACAATGGGATCATGGGGATCCAGCCCCACAAACTAACAATGGGATGGGGATCCAGCCTCGTTAATTATGGTGGGATGGAGAACCAGCCCCAGGGTGTGCCTCTGGGAACAACGGGATCATGGGGATGATGGGGATGATGGGGATCCAGCCCCATGAACTAACAATGGGATGGGGATCCAGCCCCATTA